AGATCTCCTGCAGCTAGGCAGTTTGTTCTTACTCATTTATGTGTTCGCTAATCAAATGACTTCCTCTTTTAGAGGTAGGATCTCATTCTGGAAGATCAGACACACTCAGATCTTCCTGCCTCGGCACCATGAGTTCTGGGATCAGTATGTTCTAGCCACCGCTGGCTTGTCACAATGCTAGCGGTAAGCTTGGATGGGGACAGCCAGGAAGAAGACACCGGAAGAGGACATGGTTGAAATGCGGTAGAAAAATTATGAATAGAGGACACTTGAAACCGGTGGTTCTACATCTTCCTAATGCTGTGACCTTTTAATACAGTTAAATATAGTAATACAGTTATGACTCTCAATCCCACTGAAATAAAATTGTTTCTGTGCAACTTCATAGCTGTAGCTTTGTTACTGCCATGAATTATAATGTATATATCTGATATGTGACCCCTGCGAAAAGGTCACTTGAACCCCAAAAGGGTTCTGACCTACAGGTTGAGAGCCACTGCTTTAACCATAGCTTGCTCAGCTGCTGTTGCGACTCAGCCCTCTCAGTATCCACCTGATTCCTCTCTTAGCCTCCTCTCTTTCTCCTTAATGTTCATCAGCACCATTGGAACAGATGATTCACCTGGGTTTCCCGAACCTTCTTTCCCCCATGCTTGTGGTGCTGTGATATTCATTCTCATTCTCTCTCTCTCTCTCTCTCTCTCTCTCTCTCTCTCTCTCTCTCTCTCAAAGTTGGGTGAATTTAAGCTTCATCAAGGGAGTGGGACCGCACACTTTTTGTCTCTTTTTAATATGGACACAGTTTTCTAGCTGTGAAATTACAGAAAAAAAAATCTGCAAGGATGGTGTGTGTGCTCACTACAGGGAACCAGGATGAGAAGAGCCTTGTGGTGCAACGTTCTGTTTAACGTGGAGCCAGGCAAGGAGGACGATTTGCCAGAAGCCTCAGATGAGAAGAGAGAATCCACTTGCGATTTTTGAGGAGATAAGAAAGGGAGAGCTAATTGAAACTATTCCCAGGGATTTTGACTTACCAACTCCTCCCCCCCCACAAGTTTCTAAGAATGCTCTAATTTCCAACAACCCTTACTTGCTCCATTTTTAGTCTTACCTATTCTGAGGACTTTTGTGGTTCAGTTCCAGATGGTGGAGGCCCCTAGGAGCCATGCTGTCCATCTTGAAGATGGGTATGTGGGAAAAGCTAGATGGTGTGTTAGAAACATCTCACGTTAGGAATGAGGAACTCTCGATTCCTCCAACGCCTCGTCTTTCTCAGAATCTAAAAATTTCTTTTTCTAATATTCATGAATAGAAAATAGAAAAGGGAGGCTCATTCATTTTTAGGGTTAATTAATCAATTACATATATAGGTACATATCTATGTATTTACATATATAGGTATAGTAATTAAGGAAGACAAGGTTGGGAATTTAAGCGGAGGACATGGGAGGAGTTGGGGGTGGGGGATGGGGTAGAATTATGTAAGTACTCATGTAAAAAGTTCCCAAATGAACGTCTAAATGTAAAAAAATTAAACTGCTGCAGAATTATGAATAGCCCAATTACACTTGCCCTGTGAGGATGGAAGGCAGGAACTTTGATTATTTGCAATATGGATATACGATACAGGCAAAATCCTTATGCTGTCCATTTTGAATAAACACAGTGAGAAAGAAATTGCCGGATATTGCCAGAAACTAGTAAGAAAAGTATGTTTAAAGTGTCTAGTTGCCATTTTTTTCATGTTTTATTGATCCATTGCTAATTTTGAATTCACTCCGAGTCTGTAGAAAACCTAGCCTCCTGATTATCCAGAACTGATCTGGCATGTCAATCAAATAGCTGAGTCTCGGCAGGTCCCTCCCCTCCCCCCCAATACTCCCCACCAAATCAAGCAGCAGGTTAGCTGGTCCATTGATTTCACATTTTTTTCAGCTTTGATAAAGTTACTAATTGGAACAGTCACAGTGATATTTGGTAAGCACTTAAGTTTAATTCTCCCTTTTTTCTCTCTCACAATATGCTCACTAATGGAGTCTGCTTAGTACTTCTACTTTGTCAACAGAGGCTTAGAAGAAAGAAATCATCTGTCCAATGTCAATATGCATGGCTTTCTGCTAGAGCCTGTATAGCGTTTGAGCTCTAAGACCCCCAAACAAGTCAGATTGTCAGTAGTGGCAGAGTTGTGGTTTTAACTCTGGCAGAAGAGCCAGCTTTGGTTCCAGTTAACAAGCCATTTCTGGCAAATCTAGTTTGGCATTTGAATTGCTTGGAGTGAGATCTTATATAGTTGAGGTCTCTTTGTACGTAGGTCCTCTTACTCTGAGGCAACTCATTCACATCCTTAAAATTGCTTTAATGATAAGTAGGTTAAGCAAATTTGAAATGCAAGACTTGTTTTTCAGGCCACAGCACCTCTGTAAATAATTCATTATTCATTCTGCAGCTATGTGCAGTGCCACCTGTCGGTGAGAGCATTGTGGGAGACATAAATACAGAACAGTCTAGTGAGAAAGAAGTCTGGTGTTTGAGGACTGTAAACCAGCTGCTAGGGGCAGTTTAAAAAGACAAAGATTGGTTCTGCTGGATGGATAAGAAAAGGTATTCCAACAGCATCCCTACCACAGCAAACCTTCTGGTTCCCCATATGGATCCTTGGCTTAGTCTCCACCTCTGCCCTATTGTCACCTGGAATGTCACTCACTCATGTGATCTTTCCTGATCTCATTAAAAAAAAAAAAACCTCCCTAACATGGCTTACTCAACTTCCTTGTTTCATTTCTACCTATGGCTTATGGCATCTCAGGGCACTGTGTGCTTTATTAATTTCTTGGCTCGTTGTCTGTCTCCTTACGTTAACGGGAACAGTGCATAAGCACAGGGTCTCTGGACTGTTTTATCCACAATTGTGGACCCAGTGGTCTGCGTGATGTCTGACTCACGGTAGAGTCATGGTACACATTGGTTGAGGAACTGGAAGGGATACGAGTTCAGCTGGGCCTGAAGAATGAGTTGGATTTAGCTGGACATTGTTAAAAGAGAGAGAATTCCAGATGAAGAGAATTGTGTAAGAACGGAAGCAGCACGTTCCATGGCTTGCTATGAGATGAGTGTGCTGGTCCATCGGCTAAAATGAGATGCAGAACAGCATAGCTTGAAAGTGTCTACATTAGGTGATTAGCGTAATTATGATTTAATTCTACAGGCAGCAGGAAGCCCTTAAAATTAGGGTTTGTTAATGATTATAATCATTCCAGGTAATTCGAATATGGGGGTGGATCTAGGTTCTGTGGGTTCTGAAGCTACTATAATTTTCCTGCCTTTCTTTAGGAAAAAAAAAAGACGACACACTGATGAGTTCGGAACTAGATCTGACCTTTGGGTGTGCCTTTTTTATGGCCCAATAGTTCGGCTACTGTGACAGGCTGGGAGTTGTCCTTGGTGCTAGCTGTGAGCCTGTGTCCATGCCTGTGACTGTAAGCACTCAGATAGATCCTGCTAGATGTTTCCATTCTGCAGAAAGGGTTGGCTGGCTGGCTGGCAGGCAAAGAAGCCAGACAGAAAGGGACAGCAGTCTTGGTGAAGGATGAGCTGAAGTAGCTGTCCATGGTGATGGAAGTCCTCTATAAGTCTCAGAAGAAAGCCAGAACATGGTTGCTTGAAGCTGTTGTGGAGCTCAATTAGCCGGGACACTAGGGAAGCATTGATCAGAGGTGGCAACTCCCATGGATGTCTGATGTGCTTGGGGACAGACATGAGTGCTACAGATACACTTCTAACAGGACATGGCTACTTAGCTAAAACGAGAGAGAGGTCAAAGCTCTCTTAAGTCTCCTCAAGAGATGTGGGAGGAAACTATAACTGCAAAATTTTAACTACTTTTCAGTGCATTGGTTTTACCAATAAGCACACAAGATATTTTACATATGTTTAGGAAGAACTATGCTGATTGCTTTCGAGGTACAAATGGATGTCACTAGAAATGAAGCAAGACATTAAGTAAGGTCTTAGGGACATGAAAAAGGATATAGGTTCTTCAAGTTCCCTTATTCATACAGAGATGTAGATAGCGTGAGATTTGACTGTTAAATCATGGGGTAGAATTTAGCCTCAACCGTTTTTAGCTGTTTTGTTTCACAGTATAAACTCAGTATGCGGCATTCGTGTAATGTTTACAGTGTTTCTTTCTTTTTGTAATCAGAAACAAAACAAAACAAAAACACAGAAGAAAGACTCATGTCTGTTGAAACTCCATAGCTAGAAACAAGGACAACTGTTATCTGTTTGTGATGACCTTGTGGCGTGTCAGGAGATTCCCTCACACCTTAATGATTTACTGGAACATTAAAATGATAATTGATTTAACCACACAGAGGAGGAAAAAAATTATGCTCAGACCTGGGCGCAACACGTCCTTGAGCTGACTTTACTTTGTGGAAGAGTTCCTGTTATGATCTGCTTGGGTTACATAGAACTTTCAAACCCAATGCCTCCCTTCTTCCACCCTCGTCTTAAGCTGTAGGATTAAAAGAATTATGTGAACTGCTCTTGGCTTTCATCTCAGACAAAGACAGTTGTATAGATTTGAATAAAAGCATTATAAAAATTATGTCAGGTTAGCAAATACCCAATTAATAAGTCTCAGGTAAAATAGAAATTTTAATACTGAGGGTGAATTTAAAAAATCCTCAAAACTATAATTTGTCACAGGCATTGCCTTTCAAACAAGAAGCCAAAATTTTAGCTTTCAATGACATAGAAATGACAGCTGATACTTTGGCTATGGAGAAGGAAAATAGATTTCATCTTCTTTGCCAATTTCAATAAACTGAGAGTGGCTTCCTGGGGCCCTGCGTTGGCTGAATTCTGACACTGCTTCCAGCTCCATAGGAAAGAGAGCTGCGATCAATTAAGGAGCAGGGAGCCCAGCATGAGAGCTGTGCATTCGGTACCCACGGTGAAACATTGTTTCCAACAATCAATAGCCACTGTGCACTCACCAGATAAGCCACCCACATCCATCTTCTTCAGGTTCTTGGCTTCCAGAATGACAACAGTCAGCTTGCCGGCAGTAGGGACGTAGCGGAGGGAGAAGCAGATGTCACCCAGTTTCTCTTGCTATGAAAACCAATAAAGAGGTATTAGGGAGTCTTCAAGTGAAGTTGAACTGTTAGGTCTTAGACATTGTGATTTCCTCAAGAGGATGGTTAGGATGGTTAGAGTCTGAAGACTTTAAAGTCCAGGGGCATTTTTATAGTGGTCATTTTATACGATACCAGTCTTTTCTCTTTCAAGATTATCTACTTCAGCTTTTGAAAAAAAAACCACTTACACTTTAATATCCAATAGAATATGTCTATAATTCTGGAAATGAGACCAAGATGACTGCCTTTGAGACGGCACTGAATACTGCAAAACTCTCTCTAAAATCCCCTTGCTTTATTAAAGAGCGCTGTATGGTTTACTTATTTTATTTTTTTTTATTAGAATCGACCCATCTCAGTGTTTGTTTTTTCCCCTATCAAATAAGATTATATCTTAAAGCCTATGTTTAGGGACTTGGGAAGAAAGATATCTTTGTTCAGCTAAATTCTATTTATTGTTGAAAGAGTCCGAAAGTCTCATCACATAAATGCACTCAAGTGTGAGTTTTTGTATGTTTTGGTTTTATTCATTTCAAGGCAAGTCTTTCTTTGCCTTTATCCTTAAGTTTGTAAAAATCTAGTAGCAGGCTGGAAAGCTGTAACATTGAACCACAATGCAGGTGGCCCACCAGAGTTCATTTCTTAATGTTTTTCCCTCCCCAAATCTAAGTTTTGATTCTGAAGAGAAGAGGGAAATACCTGTGTCAGACTTCTTAGGAAAGACTTGCAACGTACAAAGTATATAGAAACTACTGATACCCTAAGTCTTTTCATTGTGGCCTTATCTGTAGCTAGACATATGTGCTAAATGAGCCAGTCTCCTATGTGAAAATACCACCCTTGATATAATGTAACAGTGTAAGGAAACATAAATTTTTTTTTGTAGAGGTACTTACTATATTCATATTTCAAAGAAGAAAGAGTGTGGTTTTGTTTTGCTTTTTTTTTTTTTTTGTAGGTGAGTCGAGGGGAAGGAGGGAGAGAGAACACCAGCCTGTCTTTCCACGATTAACTAATGCCCTATTGAAAGCGACACCACGTGTGTTTGTGGCCCAGTTCTCCTATTTGTGGAATCCCTGTAGTGTCTGACAACATGCTTCTAGGTTGATGAGAACATTGTTTTCATATTCCTGTGTAGACAGTTTAATTCTCCCACCTGTCGGTGCCTTCCCTAATGAAAAAGTCCTTTCATGGCTATCACAATACCTCACCTTTGCGAAAAAAAAAATAAGTACAAAAACATTTTGGAAATAGCCATGTTTTGAATCACAGACAGCATAGCTCCCTGTGGCTGGTCGGGTTCCTTGTATCAGAGTCACTCTGTATGCTTGGTCACTCTGACACTCAATTGACATATTATGTGACTTAGTAGAATATATTATTTGTCATAGTCTCTGAAGATACAGAGTTGGAATTAGTATTTTAGAAATGAATACAAAAGACAGCCAGATTCCTCTAAACTTGGTGAGGGAAGAGAAATGTACATTGCTATTTGAAACGGTCATTTAGAGGTGGGCTCTATGTGTAGGGATCTCTTTGTTATTCATATTCATTTCCTTGGTAAGCTCATTGTACTGCAGGCTAGACTATTCTCACTACTTCGCCAGGCATTCCAAGAGATGACTATCCTGTCCTAGATCATAAATCTCTGTATGGCTCATTACTGTATGGATACTCATTACTAAGTATCCATGAATAACTTAGGATGCTAAAATAAGCTCAGTTCTATATTTCTGTCTCATCCCAAATATCCATTTTTCTTCTTAATGCTTATTCTTCTTCCATCCCATAACTTCAGAATTGCAGGTAACTTTAAGAACTTCATATATCATATTCATTCATATATAGGAATGTTTTGACATGAGCACTCAGGTATCAGAGGCTGGCCTCAAACCGACTGCAGCTGAGGATGACCTTGGACCTTTGACTTGGCTGCTCATCTGTCTGTCAAGTACAGAGAGCTACAGGCATGCAGCACCACAGAAGGCTCCCAGTTGTTTCAAGTGAAGAAATGTCATGTCATTTTTCTTGCAGGATCATTTCATTCTTCAGTCTTAAGACTCACAGAGAATGTAAAAGATTCTAAAGAGTCTATGTACTATTTAGCTTCAAACGAGAGCTCAGCATTTTGGATAAAGGAGAAATGTGTGAGATTCACTGAGGTTTTAAGCCTTTGGGGTGGATGAAGAATGAGTTCAGAAAAGAACAAATGTGGGTATTTTAGGGTAGAGAGGAAGAGAAGGACTTATTTTTAAAAGTCTTTACAGATCTGCACTGAATTAATTTAGAGGCTTTAATATGGAATTTTTTTTCATTGGCTCATAAAAATTATCAACCAGTACAGCAAATTAAATATTATTTTTACATGAATGAACTGAAATGAGTTTCCAAAGTTTTAATTACTTCTGATCAACAGCTGTTTTAAAGCTAGTCACCACTCCTCCCCCAGTTTGTACAATTTCTGATGTCAAGATGGAGGCAAACTCTTGCCTGGGAGAAGGCAAGAAATGTCACCACATTTTTATGACTCCATCTTAGATCCTTATGGCACATTAACAATTACAATTTTGCACATCTGAAATATAAATAAAATATCCAATAAAAAATGAAAGAAAAAAAAGACATGAAGAGGACATGAAGAGCAACTGAGACTTGGTACTGTGAGAGGCCATGGAAGGCCATCGGTGAAGATGCAGACTCAGTTGCATTTGATGACCCAGGACTGAAAAGGTCATGCAAAGAAGTTGAAGCTTGGCACCATAATGAGAGCCTATGAGAGGCTATAGGTGAAGCCTAGTTGCAGTGGAAGACCCCAGTGTATTGGAGATGCCAGTACCATGGGATGAACACCAAGAACAGCAGCAGCAGTGGAGTAGAATTAACCAGAGCCTAGAATGCTACAGAGGAAGAATTGGAGCTGTGAAGTTGAAGTTGCCTTGGAGACTCAAAGATGTTAAAGATGCCAGAGCCCTGGGATACCTGCTGAGAAAAGCTGCTAACAGGGAGTAGAACCAGCCTAGGAAAAAGAACTTTACTGCAGTCAATAGAGATGAAAGGGGAGTGGAGATCTGAAGACCACTTAGACATCAGCCCTGGAGATGCAGAGTTTGGAGTGTGCCCAGCTGGTTTCCTGTCTTGCTTTGGGGATTACAGATAAGTGATTGGATGAATCTCAGAAGAGATCTTGAACTTTGAACTTTTAACATTGTTGAGACTGCTATAGACTTTGGAGACTTTGGGAGTTGGACTAAATGTACTTTTTTATTATGCTATGGCTACGTTGGCCCCCATAGCTTCATGCATTTGAACAAATCTATGGGGGTCAGGGAGTGGAATGAGATAGTTTATATATGCTTGGTCCAAGGAGTGGCACTATTAGAAGGTATGGCCCTGTTGGAGTAGGTGTATCACTGTGTGTGGGGGATTACCCTTTTAAGTTATTTTTCATTTAGCATGTTATATTATAATTACATTGTAAACTGTTGCAATATTGATTTAGACATTAATAAAATATGCATTCTTGAAATGTAAAAAAAAAATAAAAATCTAGATGTAGAAGAAAAAACAATTACAATTTTCTCGAGAGCGCATGAAGCGGGTGTTACCATGTCCATTTTATAAGTAGATATTTGAGAGCTAAAGGTTACAGAAAATCAGAGAGGTGGTCTCAATGGGACACTGAAGCAAGGTCATTTAACGCTACCTGTGAAGTGACGATAACTAATAACCCCACTGATGATTTACCTTGTATTCCATCATTGTTTAAAATGATCACTCTGTTCAGCATATGCCTTCTTTTTGTTTGTTTGTTTGTTTTGGTTTTTTGAGACAGGGTTTCTCTGTATAGTCCTGGCTGTCCTGGAACTCACTCTGTAGACCAGGCTGGCCTCGAACTCAGAAATCCACCTGCCTCTGCCTCCCAAGTGCTGGGATTAAAGGCGTGCGCCACCACCGCCCGGTATATGCCTTCTTTTTAACTGTTCCTTCTAAGACCTTTTCCTGGAGGCTAACTTCCATCTCTCTGACTCCTCCTCTAACACCTACGTCTTGACCTGTCTTTTTCTGCAGATGTCAATGTGTACCAGACTGCATTGTTCTCGTTGTTTTTTAACTGGCATCATAACCTGCCTTGACTGCCTTCAGCATGAGCTCCAGCATGGCATTTGCCACTCTCCTCACTACGTCTTCCACTATCACACACACCCCTTTGACTTCTTGCCCATACTCTATGCCAACCATTAGTTAGCCCCTGCTGCTTTTCAAATGAAGCCCTCACCACATCTGTCGGACTTTTGAAAATGCCCAATGAAACATTCCTTAGTTTCTGTCCCTACAAATCCCAAAGCAGATTGTATATGGATGGCTAAGCTAAGGTTTGGAAGATTCAGTTCCATTTTTTGTATAGTCTGCAGCACGGAGTCCAGCCGTTCAGTTTTTCCTCTTTACATATGTGAGTTCAGCTGCCACCTGTAGACTCTAGAAGAGGAAGGACTAGAATTTTTACAGTAGTAGAAAGTTTAATGCCTTGTTCCAGGAATACAATGGAGGTCTTCTAAGTAGTTACGGGCTGCATGTATTGAAAGGAGAAGCTCACTGGTCTACTGCTTTATAAACAGCACGGATGCTAGTGTTCTATCAACACTGGCGTCAGTTTCATCAACAGGTGAGCTATCAGGTTTACTGGATGACTCTCCTTTGTGCCTAGTACGAGACAACTGCCATGCTAACTCTACCATGAAGCTAGAAACCACATCCTTCTGTGGGTAAAGTTCTTCCATCACGATTTTCAAGATCCTGCCGAGTAGCAGCTGACAAATGAGTGCTTTTGCTGGTATGATTATCTCACGAAGGGGCCTCATTACTATTAGGGATTTCAGCTTTATGTATAATTTATTTTCGTGAATTGCCTTGATCACTAGGTGGAAGCTGCCAGTTAGCGTTAGAAAGTTCCAACTGTGAGATTCGGAGAAATTA